GACAAGGAGAAGAAGAAGCAAGGGAGAAAGGAAGGGATGAGAAGCCTTAATGGTGGGGAGCAAGATATTAAGAAGCAAAAGTTTTTCAGAGATAATGGATAAGTCTTATTGTTAATGGGATTCTAGAAAGGTACATAAGATTGCATTTTTATATCTGTATTTAGAAGTAATTATAGAAAATTAGAAATAATATGTAGTTTAAAATGTGATAAAATATTTAACATAAACAAGTGAAATTTTTGTTAAGAAAAAGGGAGTACTGTAATGAAATATGATTCAAGATTGGGGTGGGGGGGGGGGGTAATAATCGTGGAAAGCATAAGTGTTCCCACAAAGGCATGATATTCAATTGAAATGGATAAAATGTTTAAGATATAAATGATTGTTAATATTAATAATTAGAAGATGGTATATTAGCAAACCCTTTGTGAAATGAGATTTGAAGTAGAAGAAGGAGGAACATTTCAATGAAATATTGAGCTATAATATGTGATGTGGGGGGGGGAATAATTTTGAAAAATAGGGCTCTCATAAAAGCATGTGATTTAATTGAAAAGTAATGAGTTAAACATCTAAGATATGAATATCAATATTAATGAATAGATTTGTATTATTTTTGATAATATAGTATAATTTTAGAATGTACCAGACAGAATCCCAATGTATGTTATGTATTTTATATTAAGTACTATAAATATAGGGGAAAAAGACAAAGGCATCATACTCCATATAGTGTATAGGAGAAGTACTTCTTTTTTTTTTTTTTAAAGAAGAAAAATAAATGATTGGCTGGAATAGAACAGACAAAGAATAATAAATATTACGATATGAATTGAGAGGAGATAAAATAAATAAATAAAATAAAATTGAGAAAATTTAAAGGAGAGGAGAAGTTATATAGAAAATTGAAAATGTTAAGAAGATATGAAATGGTATGTAAAATGAATATGAAATTGAACTTGTGTCTGTACCAAGAGTTTTAACCCGGGACTAAGCAACTTTCAGAAAAGAGATTTTTTATACTTTTATGTTTTGTGTTTATGTGTATTTATGTATTGTTTGCCTTGAAAAATAAAACTTGTTTTTTTAAAAAAATATGGACACGAATTGACATGGCATGGATGAATGGGGAAATAGCAAATGAGATAAAAGAGATTGAAATTTTACCTAATGAATGGGCAGATCATAATCCAATTCAGATAATATGGAAGGGTAGGGCAAAACCAAAGAAAAGATGGACGTTAAATACCCAATTAATAAGAGAAAAAGAATATACTAACAAACTCAAGGAGGAATTAAATTATTTCTTAAAGGAAAATGATAATGGAGTAACCACAAAACAAAACATTTGGGATACAATGAAGGCAGTAATAAGAGATATAACAATCTCTTACAATGCCAAGAGGAATAAGGAAAAATATGCCCAGCAAAATAAATTACAACAAAAAATTAAGGAATTAGAAACTCAATTACAGAGTACCCCAAAGGATTCAAAATTGCAAAATCAGATAATGATAGCTAAACATAAATTGAATTGAATTGAACAAGAGAAAATAATTATAAATTTGAATTTGACTAGACAAACTTATTTCAAGCATGCTAATAAGCCAGGAAGATGGCTACCTTATAAACTAAAAAAGGAAAGAAAAGAGATTGATATATCAGCTAATAGATGGTAAGGGGGATATACAGCAGGAGATAGAACAGAAAAAAGAAATTGCTCATAAATATTTCAAAGATTTATATAAAAAGGAAGATGTTAATGAGGATAGAATAAGAAACTATTTAGATGAAGTGAAGGATAAAGCAATTGGGGAAGAAATGGTAGAACTATTAAACAAAGACATTACTTGGTTGGAATTGAAATCAGCAATAGAGAACCAGAAAAACAACAAAACCCTGGGCCCAGATGGGATTCCAGGGGAGCTGTACAAGGCAATTGCAGAACAAATTGGACCCCTTATGGTAGAAGTTTTTAATGATGTTTTATTGGCAGCCAGGATGCCAGACTCATGGAGGGGGGCATTGATTTTGCTGATCCCGAAGGAGGATTCGGATCCCCGATATATAAACAATTATTATTTCACTGTTAAACACCAACTACAAAATATTTACTTCTATTATAGCAAGCAGACTAAAAAGAATGCTAAATGGGCATATACATGAAGACCAAAATGGATTTCTCCTGACCAGACAAATCAGGAACAATTTAAGAACAGTACTAGATGTCTTAGAATTTTATGAAGCTCACCCCGAAAAACAAATTGCACTTATGTTTTTAGATGCAGAGAAGGCCTTCGACAATTTAAATTGGCAATTTTTAATCCAAAAAATTTATAATATGAATCTAGGCACCAAATTTGAAAATATTATAACAACTATTTATGATACACAACAAGCTAATATTATAATAAATGGGGAATATACCCGCCCAATAAAAATAGAAAAAGGAGTCAGACAGGGCTGTTCACTCTCACCCCTGCTCTTCATATTATCATTAGAAACATTATTAATGCGAATTAGACAGAACTCAGATATAAAAGGATTAAAGGTTAAGAAAGAAGAATGTAAGTTGCAAGCGTTTGCGGACGATATGATTTTTTTCATTGAACCAATAGAAAGAGGACAAAAATTGATGAATGAATTAGAACAATTTGGAGCAGTAGCAGGACTCAAAATTAATAGGAAGAAAACTAAATTAATGACTAAAATTTAACAGAAAAACAGAAAATAGAGTTAGAAGAAGTTATGGAAATACAAGTGACAAAGAAAGTTAAATACTTAGGAATATGGTTGTCAGCACACTGTAAGACACTCAAGGAAAATAGTTATGATAAATTGATGCAACAGGTAAAGAAGGATTTAGAATCATGGGGTAAGCTGCAACTTTCATTATTAAGCAGGATCGCTGCCATTAAAATGAATATTCTTCCAAAATTTCTCTATCTATTTCAGACGATCCCAATTAAACTACACAATTTTTTTTTTTGAAGAACTCAACAAAATAACTGTTAAATTTATTTGGCAAGGAAAAAAACCTAGAATAAATTTAAAGGCAATGCAGGATATGAAGAGCAGGGGAGGGCTGGCACTTCCAAACTGGGAGTTGTATTATATTGCTGCCTCTTTAGTATGGTTGAAGGAATGGGTGAATTTAACTAACAAGAGAATATTATTTTTAGAAGGCCAAGATTTGCAGAGGGGGTGGCACGCTTTTTTATGGGATGTAGGGAAAACTAGTCAAAAATATTTCCACAGACATCTAATTAGAGACTCATTATTAACTAATTGGAAGAAAATACGGAAAAAACACTATATAAAAGTACCAATCTGGATTTCAACAATGGAGGCGATGATCCACCCAAATAATCTGGATATCACTAAAATGATTAAATATAAGGACCTATTGGATACACAAGGAAATTTGAAATCGAGGCAAGAACTTCAAGAGCAAGGACAAAAAATTGATCAGTGGGCATACCTTCAAATTCAAAGTAGATACAAACAGGACAAGAAAGAATTCGGAATCAACAATAAACTCCAGCAATTAGATAAAATTTTATTAGGATCAGGCAAAAAAAATATAACAAAATTTTATAATTATTTATTAGAAGTCGAATTAGAAGAAGAAATTGTAAAAGGGAACATGATTGCCTGGAGTAGGAATGTAGGACATAGCATCACCTTAACACAGCGGTTCCCAACCTTTTTTTCACCCCGCACCCCTAAAGAAATTTCACTCGAACCTCGCACCCCCTGAAATTTAGACTTTAGGAACTACTGAACATGTTAAATATATGGTAGGATTGAATCTTTTCAGCTATGTATTTGACGGCACTAAATAACGATACTTAACTCTAAAATGAAAACAAAGTTAATCCATTGCATAATAAATAAATAAATAAAAATAAAAATAAATAAAAATTACCTGGACTTTTCTCGCACCCCCTGGAATATCGTCTCGCACCCCCAGGGGGTGCGAGCACCCCAGGTTGGGAACCCCTGCCTTAACGGAATGGGAAAAGGTCTGGGGTAGAAACAATAAGATTACAAAATCAGTAGCATATAAAGAAAATGCCTATAAAATGTTTTATAGATGGCACCTTCCTCCTTCGAGATTAGCGAAGATGCACCCCAATATGAGTCCGAATTGCTGGAAATGCAAAAAAAAAAAAAGAGGGAACTTTTTTCCACATGTGGTGGTCCTGTACAGAAGCTCAAAAATATTGGCAGAAAATTAAAATTTGGCTGGAAGAAATGACAAAAGAGCAGATCGAATACAAACCAGAGTCCTTTTTGTTAGGGATCTTTGACAAATATCAAAAAAAGCGAAATACATAATAATACACATTTTGACAGCAGCTAGATTAGCTTTTGCCTAATGTTGGAAGCAGCCTCAGGTTCCATCAGAAGAAATGATCATTCAAAAAATCTCAAGTTGTGCAGAAATGGACAAACTAACTTTGGCACTAAAAAATAAAGACACCTCAACATACTACAATAGCTGGAACTGCTGATACAAATGAATAGACCAAAGATAGATTTTACACTATAAGGCAAAAGAGGATAGGATAAACCCATAGCAGTGATATACAGATATAGGTAAAGATTAGGTGTGTGTATATGGCATAAATTAAGGGTTAAAAAAAGAGAGAGATCTTACAAACTGTTGAAGATAAGAATGTTTTTAATTGCTTTCTATTTTTTCTTTCTATTTTCTTCTCCTTTTCTTTTCTTTCATTTGTGTATGTGTTGTTGGTTTGTTTTAATTGTAAAATTAATAAAATTTATTTACATAAAAAAGACAAAATAAACAAACACAAAATTATGCATATACCAACATATATGACATGGGGAAACAATACAGTTTAGTTCGGATATTTAACTCTAATAGTCTCTATGTGGGTCCCTGCTTTGAGCCTAACCAGCTCAGCCAGGAAGGTGGCTGGCACACACCCTGTCATTGATTCATCCATTTTCTCAGCCCCAGTCCCTTCACTATTCAGGTGCTGACCATGCACCAGGGGCTCTGCAAGTTACGTCTTCAGTTGCAGTAGAGGAAATGAGTCTTCTGCTGGCACAAAATAGGCCCATTCAGTCAGCTGTCCTCTCAGCTTCTCGGAACTGTCACTAAATGAAGGATTGTAAGTTGAGGGCTATCATACGCATATATTTTTCCAATGAATATTAGTCAAGCCAGGCGCTACCTTGGTTTGATGAGATTGTCTCATCCAGCCGTTCTACAACTTTCTGGTTGGCTGCAGAGAAAATATTTCTCCATGGAGCATACGGTACTACTGGCCCCTTTTCCATTTACATAGGCACAGAAGCCTTCTCCTCGCACTGGAAACCTGAAAAAGGACAAGGAATTACTATCTACATGGCAGTGATAACTGTGGGTAGAAATTAGCATTGCAGGAATAATACTTCCAAGAATATTACCAGCTTAAAAACATACTAGACTTCAGCCAATACTGTGCCCCTAGGATGCATTGGATCAACGTTGGGGAATTGCTAGCTAGGCTGGAGAGAGGAGTCAATTGAGGGCCTAGCTTGGAATTGCTGAGCAGCCGCAAATGGCATAAACATAATCTCCAACCTCCAGTCCATACCTCACTCAGTATTTGCGCAAAGCTGAGCAAGATGGAGCTACTTGCTGAAGTGGAGGCCCTACCAGCCTGATCACCCCTGCCATGTTGTGGGCCAAGTCCAGTGGCCACAGGTGGAGCAACTAGCCCTCAACAGTGGGGTGCAGCCCTGCCAGGCATAGGCTCAGGAAGGAGAAGTGTGGGACTGCCTTGAGCCATCAGCCCTCTTGAAGCCGCCACCCCAGTCACTGGGACCGGGACCAGAAACCTGGCCCTACCCCCCTGGACCTGGCTGGGTCCTAGGTGATCTCAACCCCCACTGGACCCTCCGCCAATAAAATCCACCTGTCAGGGTTCTAACTAAGACACCCCAAACGAAAGGACTCAGGGGCTTGAAAGTTTCCCAAAGAACAATTTACTAGAGTATGTCATATTGGCACAATGCTGGTGATAACAGGCTCTAAAATTTCCACCAGTTTTCACCCCTAATTGAATGCAAAGCTTTGTCTCTTCCCCCCATAAGGCATCCCATGATCCAATCAGCACACAGTTCAAGTCATTGGGTGACCTCAGTCTCCACCTGCCAGCCATCTGCACAAATGTCCTTGGTTCCCAGGGCCAAGAATGTTTTGGTTATAATGTTCCACTATCTCTGCACCCCACTCCTTATCCATTATCTCCAGACTGTGTCAGTCCTGAAGCTCCACATAAAAGTCCAGTAGAAAAAAAAGAAAATGGCTACCATCCAGCCAGCATCAGGATTGACACTATCTTTGACAGGAGCCCAGGTAAGCTAACCTTCCTTAATCAAGTGTGGGTGCACATGGACCGATATACCTTGGTTTACCATGATGAAGTGACCATGGTGAATGCCTTAGTCGCAAGTCTCGAGAGGAAGGCCACCAACTGGGTGACAAGCCTCCACAATGAAGGAGCCCAGAGCTTGGGGACGTGGATGTGTTCCTGGCTCAGCTCAGGGCCAAATTTGAAGATGACAAGTCCAGCAGACCAAGTCAGAAATGCGGACTATCAGGTAAGAGAACCAACTGGTGAGGGAGTACATCCGAGAGTACCACAGGATTGCAGGGAAACTGAGGCATTGGCCAGAGCAGCTGCTAGACTACCACTTCAGGAATGGCCTGAATCAAGAGCTGTACCACACCTGTCTGGCTAGGGGAATACCCGACCAGATTCGCGACTGGTATTGGATAGCGACAATGGTGGAACTGGGCAAAAAGTATTACCAGAGCCATGGGCGAGGAGGAACGAGAACCAGCCAAAGAGGAGTCAGGAACAGCACCCACCAGGAAGGAAGCTGCTGCTGGTGCCAGCATCAATCCACCCACCCACCCCTGAGCCTCCGAGGAGCGGGATCAGTTTGTGTTTCTGATGCGGCCAGGAAGGTCACCGAGCAGCTGTGTGCTTGGTACCAACTCCTAAAGCAAGTTCAAAAGCCCCAGCCACATCCAGGTACCTTCCACGCACTAGTGGAGTCCGACTGTCAATTTCAAAGCAAGATTTTGTTGATTGCACCCATTGCCACTTTTCAGTTGCGACAGAGTCAGGGGGGAGGGAGAGCCACCTGTGGAATGTCCAGTTCCAGAAAGTAACAAGAAATTGTCCCGTGGGAACCAAGGGTATCTAACCAGATGTGTGACCAAGACCTGGACAGTTTTTACATAACAATACCTAGTTAATTGGACAACGTGAGCTGCACTAATGGGGAAGGGAGATTCTGTTCTTTAATTATGTGAAAACCGCTGGAACTAGTTAGAGTTGGTTTTGCTTCAATCTGTGCTGATATGATGTACTCAGTAAAGTTTAGCATAAAGAGATCAGATCGTCTCAGGCTTGTTTGCTTGCTTGGATTTATTAGTCAGAAGCATGACAACCTGCCTTAGAGATAATACCTTTCAGTGAAAACAGCAAACTCCAATTTTATGACCGAGCTCTTCCTCCCTACATATAAAAATATAAAAATTAACACCAGACACACCTGTTCTTGGAGGTTGTATATCACTTATCCATCCTGAACTTCTCAATCCATATCAGCTGGCCAGCAGCGCAGGGACCACCAAATATTACATACTATTGCTTCAATAATTTTCTTCTATTTTCCTCCCTTTTCTATGTTTTATATGTTGGGGAGAGAAGCTTAGCCAAAAATTATCTCAATTCTTATTATTCTTTCAGCCACTAAAGCGGAAATGTAACATCTATAAATACTTTGAAAGGGTAAGTAGGTCTATAAGTCCCATAAACAAATAAAACATACTTACTGAATTTTAGACTCTGTGCCATTGGACCACTTCCAGGTCTGATTAACCTCTCTTGAGAGACCAAACCAATAATGAAGTGGATTGAGAATTTCTACCCAAAAATCCTAGAAGGAAAATAATATATAATAAAATCCCCATTCAGCAGACTAATCAGGATAGAAGTCTATTGAGTGTCTTTTGAATGCCAAATACATTATTTGTATCAAATTATTTCATTTGTACAAAACCATATAATTAAGGTAAAATTAATGTAATGTAACTGTCTTGTCAGAACTATTTCAGATACTGCGGGATTGTCCATTATTTTAGGGAGATTTCTAGCCAAAAATGGGGCCTTTTGCATCCAAAGTCCACTAAAAGGAAGTCTGTTAAATTAAACTGTCTACTGCAATGATGCATATGCAACTGTATTTAAATTTAAATCAAATTTAAACACATTGCATAGGATTCAGCAGGAATATATGAATTTATCTTATCGTAATACCCCTCAAGTATTAATTAATATTAATAACTCATCAAGATAACAAACATGTTTATGGCAACTTTTATGCAGATAATGTATTTATTGATTTTATGTGCATTCACTCTTACTGATCATTTAGATTGACCTTCTCTCTACAGCAGGGGTCCCCAACCACCGGTCCGTGGACCGGTCCCGGTCCGCGGAACAACTCCTACCGGTCCGCGGCTTGCTGGGCGCCGCCATCTTTTTTTGATGAAAACGTGCTTCCGGTGAGGTCACCGGAAGCACTTTTTCATCAAAAAAAGATGGCGGCGCCCAGCTGATGCCGGTACCGGGCCGCGGCGCCCAGCTGATGCCGGTACCGGGCCGCGGCGTCAAAAAGGTTGGGGATCACTGCTCTAGAGGACCTCTCCCCAACATGGTCTTTCAGATTTTCCAATGGTGGACCACTTGAGGCTATAATTGATCGTATGTCTTGATTTTGATCATACCAATATTTGCTGCTGATCATCCTCTTTTTTTTCTTTTCTTTCACCTTACCCAGATCTATAGATTTAAGAAAGCAGAATCTTGATATAAAATGTCCAAAATTTAAGCCTGGCACAAGGAAAGCTGAATTGGAAAGAGGAGGAGTCTGGTTTAATAATTGAAGAAGCATCAATCACCTATGCTATGCTGATGACACTACCCCAATAATAAAAAATGTAAGAGATTGTTAAATGAATCCGGCTTCCCCTATTGACTTTGCTTGTCAGAAGTTTGCAAAAGCTGATCACATAACCTCAGGACACTGCAACCGTCATAAATAAGAACCAGTTGTCAAGCATCTGGATTTTGATTATGGAGATGCTGCAGTGGTCGTAAGTATGAAAAATGGTCATAAGCAGGGGTGGGATTCTACCTGGTTGGACCGGTTCTGTAGAACTGGTTGTTATGATTCTGCCCAGTTCGTAGAACCGGCAAATTGCGCCATTGGCTGGTCCTGCCCCTTGCCTCCTCACCCAACCACTCCTTACCTGGCATGCGTGCCATCAAATTTGCCTGCTAAGTTGCTATTTTTTTTCTTTTCCCAACCATCAGCTGTTCTGCTGTGCCAGGAGATTTAGATTAGCTAGAAAGCAGGAAATCGTTGAATTTCTTGCTTTTTAGCTAATCTAAAAGCAGAGCTGAGCCTGCCTTAGGACTGAAGCTTTTATTTTTTTAGTGCAGACTCAGGTAGCAGATTGCAGATAGATCGATCTCTGAGTGAATCTGTGATTCTGTGAGCAACTCAATCTGCCTGCCTGGTTTGCCTGATTTTGGTTAAAGTTGCTCTTTTTTAAATAAAAAATTAAAAATTTACATAAATATTTACAATATTTACATACAAACCACACCCAGCCAGTCCCGTGACTACCAAGCCACATCCAGTCAGCAAGCCACGCCCACTCAGTCACATGACCACCAAGCCACACCCACAAATTAGGCCACGCCCACAGAACCGGTTGTTAAGAAATTTGAATTCCACTCCTGGTCATAAGTCACTTTTTTCAGTGCCATTGTAACTTTGAATGGTCACTAAATAAACTTGTTATAAGTCAAGGACTACCTGTACTCAGTGGTGGGCTTCACATAATGTAACAACCAGTTCTATGAGCATGCGCTTTGTGTGCGCACTTGCGCACATTATCTAAAATAGGGGTCACCAACCTTTAGGACCTCAGGGACCACCAAACTCATAATTTTAATTATATTATCACTAATATGAATTTTGACTGACGGTGGTTTGCTGACGTTGGAGAGAGAGAGAGAGAGAGAGAGAGAGAGAGAGATCTGATCTAACCTCCCTCTCTCATACACACACACACACAAACATACGGAGGCAGGGCTGGGATTCAAATTTCTTAACAACTGGTTCTTGGGCGTGGCCTAATTTGTGGGCGTGGCTTGGTTATGTGACTGACTGGCCATGGCTTGTATGTAAATATTATAAATATTTATGTAAATATTAATATATTTTTTTATAAAAAAGAGCAAATTTTCCCCAAAATCAGGCAAAGCAGGCAGGCAGATTGAGTTGCTCACAGAATCACAGATTCACTTACAGATCTGTGTTTCTGCTATTGGCTATCTGAGTCTGTCATATAAAATTTGCTTGCAAGCAAACTCACAAAATTAACTCACAGCACACCATGTATGGAAACATTTAATTTATTAAAAAAAGAGCAACTTTTACCCAAAATTAGGCAAAGCAGGCAGGCATATTGAGTTGATCACAGAATCACAGATTCACTTAGAGATCTGTGTTTCTGCCATTGGCTATCTGGGTCTGCAATTGAATAATAGAACCTTCAGTCCTAAGGGAGGTTCAGCTCTGCTTAAAAGCAGAGCCGAGGATCTATAGATAAGCTAGAAATCAAAAAATCCAATGATTTCCTGTTTTCAAGTTAATCTAAATTTCCTGGCACAGCAGAACAACTGATGGTTGGGGGAAAAAAATGGAAAAATAGCAACTTAGCAGGCAAGTTTGCCAGGTAAGAAGTGAGTGGGCAGGAGGGTTCCTGCGGACCATGTGGGCGGCTCAGCCTTGTGTTCCGGTGCAGCCTGGATTAATTGCTTTGGGGGGTTCTCTGGGGGTGACATCTCTCTGCAGACCACCAAAATTTTCCGCCCACCAGTTGGCAACCACTGATCTAAAACAGCAGTTCCAAGCTAAAATGCTTACCTTCTCCAGAATCAGCGGTGAGTAGAACAGGTAAGGCACGGAAAACTCTGCCACGCAAATCAACTGAGCCAGAAATGAAGAGATTTAGGACCAGATAGGGCGGGTGCGGGTGGGTGGGGCCAGCTGATGGTCAGAACTACCGGTTCACTAGAACCAGTCCAAACCAGCAGCAGCCCACCACTGCCTGTACTACAGTAACAATAAATCGGGATACTCGACTCGTGCAAGAAAATTACACAAGTAAATTATAAACAATGGCACAATACACTTGCTGAATGATTCACTGGGCCATCTGTAAAAATTATCGTGTGCCAGTAGTGAAAATTGGTGAGAACACAGAGTTCAAAAAGAAGTTGAAAATGAGCAGATTAAAATATTGTGAGGTTTCCCAATACAAACTGACAAAGTATTGGCATATAACACATCCAATTTAACTGTGGTTGAAAAAAAGAAAGTGCGGTTAATTGATGTGGCAACACCGTAGTAGTAGAATAGAAGACAAGGAATTGGAGAAGATCAGAATGTATGAAAATCAACATATGAAAATCAAAATTGAAAGATGGTGTAAATCAGCTGTAGTGGTCCCAGTGACTATCAGCACCCTGACTGCCATACTAAGAAATCTTGGAGAACACTTAGAAAATCTGCACATTGACAAAATTTCCATCTGTCAATTATAAAAGGCCATACTTTTTGGATCTACACATATAACTGATACATTACAACTTCCTAGATTCTTGGGAAGAATTTGATGCATATGAAGGCGAACACCAGCAGCTGTGGTTTCACATTGTTGTGAACAGAGAATAAATAACTCGACAAACCTGTGACCCGTTGGGTCATTTTTTGAAAGAAAGTGCAGTCTGATGTGATCAGAACGAACATTAAATTTTAGGCTGAGCACATATTTTTACACAATGCTGAATGATCCCATCTAAGATGAGTGCCTATCATAAATAATAAAATAATTGTGATGACAAATGTTCAATAATAAGTCAATATACACTTAACTAAACAGATTAATTAGAATGACTATGGGTAGGCAAAAAAGCAGTGGTAGTTGGAGCAACTTCCATCTTTCTGCTGGCTTACTCATTGACCTTGCTTGTGGGAACTTGGCAGGGACACCAGAAATCACAATCATGTTGAATGCAGGGATGTTGCAAAAGCCATAACTGTGAATAAAACTGGTTTGAACATTGTAGAAATTTCAATTCCAAAGGAGAAATGGTTCCTGAAATATTTACAAATCCTTAAGTTACCAGATTTTGAATACCTTGATTAAAAAAAGTTGTTAATAGTATAATACTTGAGGGGTACAGACAACCAGATTAGCACAAGAGTTTTTATGATATATTGATAATAAATATAACAAAATGTAATATGACTGGTTTTTATATTTGTGAATACCAGGACAATTATGCAATTAATCATGATGTCTCCTTATTCCTTACCAATTCCTTCTGAGAATCAATCACAGCCAAGGAGGCATTAAGTGAGGAACAGGTGCTTAAACTGACAGTCCAATTCCTTTCTTCTTTTGATACATAGAAACACTTCCCTAGGTATCCAATCCAGGAATCTGGGCAGGCAACACCTTGGCTTGCAGAGGAAGGATAAGGCAGATATGTTTCTGTTTTTTTAACTGGAAATAAAACAAAATGGACAAATCATAGAGCTTAAAATTAGCTACAATTCTGTAGTAGTGAGATGGCTTAATATTAACTATTAATAGTTAACTATGTTAACTACTAGCTCGATACCCATGCTTCACTACAAAACTATGTGGTCAGGCTTAGTTTTGGGGGAGGAAAATAAGGGGGGGGAAATTCTGCCTCTATCTACTAGCATTCATCAGTATTCATCTGGCTAGCATCCTGTCAGTGTATGAGAGTTGAGGGCTGTTTGGAAACTGAAACAAAATTTGCTGTGTGAGCAAGCAGGAGACAGCAAGGAACCTGGACTCTTCTGTACTAAAGCTGCTTGGTGTTGTGAAACTAAAACTGAAATGGAACCTCCTCTCCTCTGCTTGTGTTTTGCATTTGGAACAGATTTCTTTTCAGGTGGGACGGGGGAGTAGAACTCCTTAGCATCAGAGCATGTTAATAATAATATACAAAATACTAATGCTGTGATGGTCATTTTGAAAAATCCTTTCTTAGTGAGCACCTAGAAGCCAAGAGAAACATATGTGCCAAATTTCAAGTTTGTAGTCTTTACGATTATGGAGATTGTGTGATGATGCGTGAGTGGTATTTCACTTTTATAGATAGACAGATACCATGTTTCTCATATAATAAGGCCAGGTCTTTTTTTTTTTTTGAGCCCCGAAAAAATGGCTAGTCTGTCTTTTGGGGGGTGACTTAATTCCCCCACCCTTGCATCTTCGGGCAGGCAGGCGGCGACAGCTTGGATGTTGACCTTGGCATTGGTGGGGCACTTCGTATTGGGGTCAACGCAGGCAGCACCATATCCGGGTGTGCAACAAAAGTACTTCCTAACGGCAAGCCCCCCCACCATTCCCCCCCATTTCGCATGTTTTAATATAGGCCTTAATTTGGGGGGAGGGGCTTAATTTCATTTCATGCCTATAAAACATGCTGGGACTTCCTATTGGGGGAGGCCGTATTGTTGGAGAAACAGGGTAGGTAGGTAGGTAGGTAGGTAGGTAGGTAGGTAGGTAGATAGATAGATAGATAGATAGATAGATAGATAGATAGATAGATAGATAGGATATAGAATTCTTTATTGGCCAAGTGTGATTGGACACACAAGGAATTTGTCTTGGTACAAATGCTGTCAGTATACATAAAAGAAAAGATACATTCGTCAAGAGTTGAGAATCCAGGTACAACACTTAATGCTAGTCATAGGGTACAATAAGCAATCAAATCATGCTAGGAAACAATCTAAATTGTAAGGATACAAGCAACAAAGTTACAGTCATACAGTCACAAGTGGGAGGGGATGGGTGATAAGGAGTGATGAGAAGATTAATAGTAATAGTAGTGCAGACTTTGTAAATAGTTGGACAATATTGAGGGAATTATTTGTTTAGCAGAGTGATGGCGTTCGGGGAAAAACTGTCCTTGTGTTTAATTCTGGTGTGCAGTGCTCTGCAGCGTCGTTTTGAGGGTAGGAGTTGAAACAGTTTATGTCCGGGATGTAAATATTTTCACAGCCCTCTTTTTATTAAGCCACCTCACTTAAATTGAAATTCCAGGATTTTTTAAGGAAGCCAAGTCTGTAAATACAGGTAGTCTTCATTTACAGACCACATTTGGGACTGGCAATTATATTGCTAACTGATGCAGTTGTAAAGCAAACAATAACATGACTGTGCCCAAGTTATTTTTTTAAATTAATTTATAATGTAAAATACAAAAATAGAAAATAGTAGGAAAGATAGGGGAGGGAAAAGAGAAGGGAAAAAGTGTAGTAAAAAGGGGGGAAAGGAAAAAAAGGTGTTGACTTCCGATTCCCTTTGGTACAGTAAAATAAGATAATAACATCAAATTTCAACTTTTTACTTTTACATAATAGTATAAACTAGTCATTTCTAGAACAACAAACCTTTCTAGTTGGTAAAACCAAAAATCAAAGTTTCATTTTTTTTTCTACCTCAAGCACAAAGTCCTGAAGTGGTTTCCAAGTAGAAACAAAAGTAATTGTATTTTTTTTTTCTTTAATCAAAGCAGTCAATTTACCCATCTCTGCTAACTCCATCAACTTTTGCAGCCATTTGTCCATTTTGGGAATAAAAGTATCCTTCAATTTTTGCGTATAAAGTAATCTTGCTGCTGTCAACATATACAACATCAAAGTTCCAATTTTTTTCCAAGTCTTTTTCCATTAAACCCAAAAGAAAGGTTTCTTTATATTCAGTTTGAGAATTTTCTGTATTAGGATAGGAATCCTACTCTAATATTTCTTTGCTTTGTCACATGTCCACCATAAGTGATAACAGGTCCCCTCTTTACTTTTGCATTTCCAAGATTCATCGGAAATACCTTGATGCATTTTGTCCACATATTCTCCCATTGTTCAAGCATTACATTATATCCAAAGTTCCTTGCCCACTGAATCCTGCAGTGCTTTACGTATTCATTTTCCAAATTCAAATTCAACAGCAATGACTGTGCCCAAGTTATGACAGCAGTTAGTTTGTTAGTTCTGGTTGCAGTTGTTAAGCAAATCACCACAGATCAAGAGTGTCAAACCCAAGGCCTGCAGGCTGGATCTGGCCTGTGAAGTGATCGGATCTGGCTCGTGCAGCTGTCCTGGTCTACCCAATGTGAAGAAGAAAGATCGGCTAGCATGGCTCCGGCCCAGTCTACCCAGTACGAAGAGGAAAGATCAGGCCAGGGTGGGGTTGGCCCAGTCTACCCAGTGCGAAGAGGAAACATGCCAGCAGTTGGGGAGTGGCGTCAAGTTGGCCATGCCCACCCAGCCCCCTAAGGTCAACCACAGCCCTGATGTGGCCCTCAATTGAGTTTGATACCCCTGGATTATACTATCCCCCCCCCCCAATTTGCATTGAGCTTGACCTTCCTTTCACATAACAATCTTTCCCTCCAGGGGCAATTGTGTCAAAAAATATGGCAATCACAGTAGTGCAATAAAATTCTTCCCTTTGTGGATATGGAGGAAACATTTGTCACGCTTACAAAAATCCTAGCTTCATTTGCACTGCCATAAGCATTTTCACATTTTTTTGATGAACACACTGTTGCTACTCCTTCCTTCCAAATCGTTCTGTGGTTTAAATGCATGTAGTGATCTTGATGCAAACAATGACAACTATGGACAAGTTAAATAGAAATGTCTTACTACTTACCAGCCAATACAATTATAACGATAAACAAAACAATGATCAGAATAACAGCTGTAATGATTTTTTTGTTTGAAGTGCACTGATGTACGAGACCTGAAAAACAGACATGAAAATATCAGGAGACAAAGTTCAAGATTTTATTGTGATAGTTTTGACTTTTTTATTTTTGTTTTCTTGTAAGCTGCTCAGGCTGTAGTCACACTATGGGTGGCTATGTAGACATTATGGCAAATTAAGAGAGAGGGAAAGGATCAGCTATTTCTTAATGCCAGAGACTGCACATTTACCCCAAGCAACTAGCTGTAATTTGTATGAACGGTTTTCATGTTCTGTATGTTAGAACTTAGAATTTTCAGCTTTGTGTGTTGCAGTTGGGATATGAAACTGTAATGCAGGGGAATTTGGGAAAGGAAGTTCAAAATATTTGGACAGCTTTTGGTTGGAAAAGTCTGGTGTATTTCCATCTGTTGACAATTAAGGTTTTTGATCTGACACACACCAGCCGATCCTGCCACAAATAAATAAACCCTGAATCACCCTCATCTCTCTCCCTCCACAAGGAAAGACAGAAGGCGACAGTTAACGTGACTCCAAGGAGGCCAGAAACACAGCCTTGTGGTCTGCTTTGTGTGGCCTTCAGGTTTCTTTCCGCACAGAACAGATTTAATGAATCAGGAGTGGCTAAGATCCTCCATCCTTCTCACAGTCGAACAATTCATCCTATGTTTCAGTCTCCAGCCCCCTAATCATCCTGGTGCTTCTCTGCACTCTTTCTAGAGTCTCAACATCTTTTTAATAGTATAGATATTCCTCACTTCCTTCGGCTAATGCACAGTGATATTCATAGGCCCCAGCTCTGCCTTGAAGGCCCTCCTTAAGAGGGGCTTCCCAGCAAAGGGGACATCCTTGCAGCTCTAAGTAACATACTTGGAGTTATAAGTGCACCTCTACTTTGCCTTGCTAAAAGCTAGTAAATAAATGTCCCAGAAAAAGATACCAGAAAAACCTTCTCTGCAAAGATGCTGCAAAGGTCCTTTGCTAAGCAGTTCTAAGGAACGTCAGCTGCACAGCAACACAATTTGTTATGGGAAACAAGTGAGAAACAGAAAGAAGTACAGTCACTTGAAGGAATATTTAGAAGAGAAACCACATTGGACAAAAAAGCATTGTGCAAAACAGAGCATTTCAATACAGCCTCATCTTCTCCAACATCAATTAATCAGATCTTGTTCTTTGAGACAAAGATATTAACGCCCATTTCTTCCTCTTCAGAATGATGGCTGATCTGCATTTCCCCCTCCAAACTCAACTGCCCAAAGTCAGTGGAAGGGTTTCTCTCCTGAAAATGCGAACTACTCAGGAAGGTGACGTGGGAAACTGACCAAAGTTTAGCCTATAATTGGCTTTTTCTAAAGTTTTTCTTTTCAAAAAGAGGAACAGCCTCAACTTCCTCTCTTCAAAGCCAGGAGGAAAAAAGATAAGGATCCTGTTTTTTTTTTACTTTCCTGTGGCCCAGCTCCACCCATTGTGTTGCATTACTCCCCCCCCCTCCAAGATTACAAAGGCCCCCAGGCAGGTGTCCACCTTTGCTTTGACCAGCATTTCTTGTCCTATTTGCATCAGACTTTCGATCAGAAGATTCAGTTGTCACCTCAGAAGTCAAATTATCACAACATGCAGAATCTCTTTCTTCCCCTAAAAGAAGGCAGAATATCATAAGTAGGACAATAAGGATATGGTCTAGTTTTGCTATTGAGGAGACACTGCCCACAATACCCAACCAGGGCTCCATCTTTCCCAGTCTAAACAATTTAAAGAAATATTTTAAGTAGCTGAAATTCACAAAGATCCCAAAATCCTGAACGTTCACTGGCAGAACTGTAACATTTCAGGTGATTATATTAGGAGGTGATGCCCATGTCATAGGACAAAACTGGGTGTGGATCTGAAGTATTTCCACTGCTTTTGTGGTGCACATTGGAAGATCTTACTTTTGCACAAGCAGGTATGTATATTGCTGAATTTTATCTGAAACTGACATTCCACACAGAATCCCAAGTGTGGAAGTTTCTTGATTTACTCCATGAGCCTCTTAAAGCTCAGAAGATAATCTGGCAGAGTCCTCTCAGATGTTCCTCCTGGTTGGTTAGAATTAGTGTGGTTTGCTCCCAGTACATCTCTTACCAGAAGAACCAAGGATGACTGAAGAAAACAATCCTACTGGTAACTAATTCTCTTACCAGTTCTCCTTAATTCTAGCTTGAGTCCAGTCATCTCCAAAAATTGCAGATCAAAACTTTGGCCCATTCAAATTTGCTTTTTCAACTAATGCCTGCCTTACTTATGGTGATTCCTCTGCTTAGAATAGAAACCAATGTTTTTAGCCATAGAATCAATGAAAAGTTGTTTTTTGACTTGATTAGTACTCCAGCTTTTTTCCTGCTTTCTGTATTCTCAGCTAGATGAAAGAAAGATCTGAAGGCCTCACCTGTAATTCTTCCTGACATCATTCTAGCTTTCTGTGTTCATCCCCGCCTCGCCCCAGATCAGGATTCAGACTGTATGGAAAGAAAAGAAATTGGTATTACTCATTCCTGCACTGGAATGCATTATTGAGATATTACTATAGAGAAGATACAGATACGACTGCTTGGCTTTCCTGCGGTTCGCCTGCCTTCCCTTTCTGACTCTGTCTGCTGCCTGTGTTGCCACATGAAGACGAGTCTCGTGCTGCCTGCCGCTCCGGCCCACCGACGCTCAGTGGATTGCCTGCCTTCCCTACCACCTGTTTCTGCCTGCTGCTTGCACAGGTAATCAACTCACCTGTGCTGAGTGGGCTGCGGCTGCTGCCAGACACCTTCAACCTTCGCGTGCACATTGCCTACGCTGGCCATGTCTACCCCCCTTCACTAGGGTTTACTTTGGGGGTAGGATTTATATTAGGCGCAAACATAAAAGACAGGCTAGGGCTTATTTTTGGATAGGTCTTGTTTTTGGGGGAAACACAGTATTTATCTCTTAATTTTCATGCTCTACCATTTCTTCAATTATTCATCTACCTGAAAGAATTTACATACCTGATCTTCCCATTCCAGTTTCCAGTTTCACCCTTCAGACGATCCTCTGAGTGAGATGGACTACAGCTATTCCAAGATCACAAAGTGAAAACTGTGGGTGGATAGTTAAGAACCATATTCTCTGGAAATAAATTAATGAATAAGTACTGTATATACCAAGGAGCAGGATGCACAATGATAGAAAATCCACACAAACACACAAAAGGAGACTTGCCTTGTTTGCCTAAAGAAATTTGACTTGCAAATCCTCACCCCCACTCCATAATCTTTCACCATAAGCCCATTCTGATTAAGAATAAACTCATGTGAGCCATTAGATCTTGTGGATATTGTCAATATTTTTCTCTGTTTTCTCTGTGATGACTGAAAACAATGTGAACAAGATCTAAGCCAAATGCCTTCTCAAAAAGGCTTTAGTTATCCCTGAAGATTTCAGAGTGTAGGCGGGTAATGTTTTAAATGGGTGGAAAACATAAGAAATGCATTTTTTAAATTTCATGCTAAGCCAGCCTCCTCGCAAAGCAGCTGATTATATTAGTCAAGCTTATTTTCATTTTAAAGGTCAACTGTGAAGGTCAATGCATGGCAAAGCATCAACTTTCATTTATCTGGTGTTTTTTTTTCCAAAAAATAAGGTTGTAAGCTGTCCTTCAAAGCAATCTTTCCCAAAGTTTAAATTATCAAATGCCCAAATTTCTTTTTAAAAGATGCTTGCTAATAGTAGGGGCTAGATGATCTCTGAGGTCCCATCTATACTCAGTTATCTATCTCTGCCCATGCCAACCAAATGATCCTACAGGTAGTTCTCGACTTACGGCCTCAATTGAGTCCAAAATGTTCTGTTGTTAAGCGAGACATTTGTTAAGTGAGTTTTGTCCCATATGCTATCTTTCTTGCCACAGTTGTTAAGCGAATCATTGCAGTTGATACATTAGTAACCCGGTTGTTAAGTGAATCTGGCTTTTCCATTGACTTTGCTTATGAGGAGGTCGCAAAAGGTGATCACATGTCCTTGGGACACAGCAATGGTCATGAATATGAATTAATTGCCAAGCATCTGAATTTTGTACACATGATCGTGGGGATGTTGCAAAGGTGGTAACTATGAAAAATGGTCATAAGTCCATAAATTATAGTGCTGTTGTAACTTTGATCAGTCACTAAATGAACTATTGTAAGTCAAAGGACTACCCAAGGGTGGGATTCTACCGGTTCGGACCAGTTCTATAGAACCAGTTGTTATGATTCTGCGCAGTTCGGAGAACTGGCAAATTGTGCCCCTGGCTGGCCCCTCCCCTCTCCGCCCACCCCTCCCCTCCCCACCCAGTCATCGCGCATGCGCAACATTGTGGGCATGCCCGACACCGCTGACTGCGTTCTTCCCCGCCCAGTCACTCCTTAAGGTATTTCTTTTCCCCACTCCCGACAATCAGCTGTTCCTATGATCAGCTGTTCCAGGATTCCCCTCACTTGCTTACTGCTTCACCTACGTGGCTTCCCTGAGGCCCAGGAAGGCTTACAATGAAGGGCGGGGGCGCAGCCGCCCCTGCCCCTTCCATTTTTTGCCTTCCTGGGCCCTAGGGAAGCTTCTTAGGAGCAAAAATGCCCCCCCCCCCCGGAGGCTTCCCTGAGGCCCAGGAGGCCCCAAAACAGAGTGCAGGGGGGTGCTGCCCCCTGGGAGCAAAAAGGCCCTCCCCGGGAGGCTTCCCTGAGGCCTAGAAGGCCCAAAAAGATGGGGTTGGTTTTTTTTTTGCTGCCAAACAAAAGAAGCCACGCCCACCGTCATATGGCCACACCCACCTAGCCACACCCACAGAACCGGTTGTTACAAAATTTGAATCCCACCCCTGGGACTACCTGTATTAAGGTGCTTTCTCTGAAGGTTTGGAGGCTTTGGCTTGGGTGGAAAAGGACAGGTTTCAGCTCAACCCTAAGAAGGCCGAGTGGCTTTGGGTTTTAGGGCTCATGGGATCTGGTGACTTGCCACCTTTGGGACTGAATGGGTGGCAGTACCCCACAGAAAACTGGTGAATACTTTGGCAGGACTTCTGGAGCTACAGCTCCACTTTCTGGAGCAAAGATATAACTTATCTTTAGAGTATATCACATCACATTTTCGTCTTTTCAATAATTGTAAACACCTCCATTATTTGTATCCCTCATTATTTTTACAAATCACTCAAGGCCAACATATCCAACACAACTTCATCCTGTTTTACCCCACAACAACAACCCTGTGAGGTGGGTTTGATCTGAGAGAGTGACTGGCCCAAAGTCACTCAGCTGGTTTTCATAGCTAAGGCAGGACTTGAACCCACAATCTCCCACTTTCTAGCCCTGTACTTTAACCACTAGACCAAATTGGCTCTCTTCTGATGTCAAAATCTTCTCAATTTTAAAATTTCCCTGAGAAATTTCTAATCAATCAATCAGAATAGAGATGGAAGGGACCTTGGAGATCTTCTAGTCCAGCCCCCTGCTCAAGCAGGAGACTCTGTACCCTGATGACGAACCTATGGTACGTGAGCCAGAGGTGGCACACAGAACCCTCTCTCATCGCCCCAGCTCTGCTCTGCCGCGCATGAGCGCATGCCTCCCACCGGTCAGCTGGGGGACAGGGTGCAAGCACGGCCCATGTGCGGGGGCGTGGCACATGCACAGGGGACATGTGTGCATGCACAGGGGACGCACATGCATGTGCAGGGGATGCACGCACATTGCATTTTGGCAACGCGTGCGCACACGCACACTTTGGGCGCTTGATGCCAAAAAGGTTAGCCATCACTGCCCCATACCATTTCAGACTAGTGGCTGTCCAGTCTTTTCTTAAAAACCTCCAGTGATGAAGCACCTACAACTTCAGAAGGCAAGCTGTTCCACTGGTTGTTCTCACTGTTAGGCAGTTTCTCCTGAATTCCAGATTGCTTCTCTCCTTGATTAGTTTCTATCCATTGTTTCTTATCTTGCCTTCTGGTGCTTTGGAAGTTGACCCCCCTCTTCTTTGTGGCAGCCCCTCAAATACTGGAAGACTGCTGTCATGTTCCCCCTGATCCTTTTCTCTAGACTAGCCAAACCCTATTCCTGCAACCGTTCATCGTGTTTTGATTTCCAGGCGATTGAAAGTTTATCCCGGGGGGAAGAATTTGCTAATGGACCTGCTATTGAGGAAGCGACAGTTGACGGGAAGTTATCCACGCCATAGTCCCAGACACGCAATCTGCAGCCTTCCTGAACTTCTGGGAGGCCCGTTTTTTTGCCCTCCCCCAGCCTCCGGGTGTGCCCTGCCACTTTCCTGCATCTAAAACGGCCGTGTGGGGACTCCTGGGAGGGAGGAGTGGGGTGGGCCAGCCCGGAGTGGGATTTGGGGGTTCTCCAAACTGCACAGAATCTTAGCTAGGGGCTCTCCCGAACCCCTGTGAACCCCCAGCAGCCCATCCCTGGTTATACTATTCCAGACAAGTGGTTGTCAGTCTCTTCTTAAAAACCTCCAGTGATGAAACACCTCAAATTTCTGAAGGCAAATTCAATTGTTCCAGTGGTCAATTGTTCTTACTGTTAGGAAGTTTCTCCCTAATTCCAGGTTGCGTCTCTCCTTGATTAGTTTTCATCCATTGTTTCTTGTCCTACTCTCTGGAGCATTAGAAAATAAATTGGGACTCCCTCCTCTTTATGGCCATCTCTCAAATAATAGAATATTGCTATCATGTCCCCGTCCCACCCGGTCCTCCTTTTCTCTAGACTAGCCAAATCCAAATCCTGCAACCATTCTTCATATATTTTTGTCTCCAGTCCTTTAATCATCTGAGTTGCTCTTCTTTTCATTTTTTCCAAAGTCTCAAACATCTTTTTTGTAATGTGGTGACCAAAACTGGATGCTGTATTCCAGGTGTGGCCTAACTAAGGCTTTATAAAGTAGTACTAATATTTTATGTGATTTTGATTCTGTGCCTCTGTTTATACAATCAAGGATTGTATTAGCTTTTTTGGCTTTTGCTGCACACTGCTAGCTCATATTTAAGTGATCGTCTACCAGGACTCCAAGGTTCCTCTCACATTTACTGTTTTTGAGCCAGGTTTCACCTAATTTGTACACTGTACCTTTAATTCTTCCTGCCGTGTAAAACCTTGCTTTTCTCCACATTAAATTTAATTTTGTTGTTCAAGTCTGTCAAGATCTTTTTGGATCCTGAGCTTGTCTTCTGGGCTGTTGACTATTTCTGCCAGTTTAGTGTCATCCGTAAATTTGACAAGATCCCCTTCTATTCTCTCATCTAAGTCATTTATGAAGATATTGAAGAGTACTGGGCCTAAGATAGAACCTTGTGGTACCCCACTACTTAGTTCCCTCCACGTAGACTTAGACCCATTAAGGACTACTCAGATAACAGATAATCATGGTTGGAAGGGACCTTGTAGGTCATCTAGTTCAACCCCCCACTTGCCCAAGCGGGAGACCCT